GGAAGTTTATGGTATGATAAGTATTTGTTATAGCATGCATCCAAATCATAGAAGTCTAAAGATGTTGATGATGATTTGGACAAATAGTTTTCTGCAAAATCGCTCGCCGTTTTAAGCCCGGTTCTCACGGCCGCAAAGAGTGCCATAGTCTGCCCTGTACGTTGGGTCTGACCGTCTTTATCATGGTTCTCCATGTAACTATTAATAATTATTGTTATATATAATAATATATATAGTATACATATATTAATAATTTATTTTTTAGATATTAGAAAATAATTAGGTTATAATTAATAAACTTGTAATTATTTCATTATTGAATGATAATAATATGCATATAATATATTTTATACAAATTGTCATCAAATTGCATCTATAATTCAGCTTATTAAGAACTTGAACCATGTATAGTAAATCTTGTTGATTGCTTTATTAGTATAATAAAATTAGCTGCAGTCATTAATAGAATTTCTAAAAATAATACTTTTTATGGACCAGCTATTACTATATTTAATAAATGTTATTCTGAATATGATATTGATCTATATCTACTTACTTATTTTCTTTAGCTAGGTTATAGAGGTACAGTATAATATTTAATTTTGTAACAATATAGTAGTGCTTTTAATAAGTTTGATCTTAATGATTTAAAACTAATAAGTTTATATAAAAAAACTATTTTTTAATATATCTAATATAGGTCTTAAGTTATATTATAGAATATTTAAAAAAATTTGCAAAATAGCTATTAAATTCTATAAAAGTATTTATTATGATAAGAATATATGTCACCAATTAACTACACAATTAATTTACTATAAAAATAAATAGTATCTATTTGATTTTGATTACAATATCACCTAGTTTATAGTGGAATATAATTAAAGATGGGTATAATCATCTTTAGAATCTTGTAAAATCCTTTTTGTAATTGTACCTTTACAGACAAGTTGTGAGTATAGTTTCTCTATTTTAAAATAGTTATATAGCATTTATTATTTACAATTATCTCTTGAAAAAATTGAAACTATGGCACAAATCTATTTTTTTTATATTCTAATTTCAAAAGTGAACTTCAATTTTATAATAAAGATTGTTAGAAAATAAACTATGTGATAGTGCATTAGATTTAATAACTTATACAGTTACAGAAAATAACAATATTGTTTTAGAACAAAATAGATATATTTTAGAACCTTTTCAATTAAATAATAAGAAACTTGAAATTAGTTTAATAATTGATTTATTAAATATAAATTTTGGTAGACAAGATAGTACTGAAGTATTTCAATTGATAGTAGAAAATAGTAATATGAAATTTGATTCTATAATAATTGTGGAAAGTAAAGTTCAAAATGCTAATAAAAATTTGTAATAAGAAAATATAGATTTATACAATTATAAATAAAATATACTTACTTTATTGCTTAGTTTTTTTTTTTATTAAAACTAGTTGTAAAAATCAGTTAATTTTTATTAAAATGTTATATAACATTGACAAAGAATATAATATTTCTAAAATTTAAAAAGCTAATATATTGTTATAGAATGAGCTTTAACATTAATTTTGTTATTAATTTTATTATTATTATTATTGTTGTTGTTATTATATTATTATTATATTATTATTTTATATTGTTATTCTATTATTTTATATTGTTATTCTATTATTTTATATTGTTTTTCTATTATTTATATTGTTATTCTATTATTTTATATTGTTATTCTATTATTTTATATTATTATATTAAGTAGAAAAAGATTAGCAAATTAATTAAAAGATTAACAAATTAGTTAATTGATTAGCAAATTAATAGATTAACAAGATTAATAAGATTAACAAATTAATAGATACAAAATAACTGATTAACAGATTAGCAAAGAAACAGTTACCTTTTCTACTGTTTCTTACTATTTTTATTAGTTAGAAAAAAGATATATAAACTCTGGCTTTTCTCCTTCCTGCCAAATAGTTTAATTAGTTACAAATATCTCAGATATTCTATAAAATAGATAGGCAAACTCTGCAAACTTCGCAACTCATTATTAAAAATTAATAATTACTAATTATTAGCAAAGCTTATTTTTTATATTGCCTACCTATTCTATAAAATATCTTATATCTCTTTAGTTATAGAATTCTTTCTTGTAATTAAAGTTTTATAAACAATAAATAAAATATATCTTTCTTAACTATATACTTTCACTAAACTGTTTTAGTGAAGTTACATTCTACTTTCACACTACTACATATCATAAAAGATCCCTGTAGCTATATGCTTTGTTACTTATACTGTATTAAGAAGGCTACAGTTCACTTGTAACAATTTGGTGCTCCTGGTGAAAACAAAATTAAAAGCTTTGTTAATTTTGGGTTGGGGCCATTTCACCAACAATCATTCTCTCAACATATTAATTCGCTGACAATCCCTTTACCGAAAGGTCATTTTCCTGACATCTTAATTTACCGACAATCCTTTTACCTACAAAATCATTTCACCGACAGTCATTTAACTGACAGTCATTTCACAGACAATAATTATTATTACGTATTTTATCATAAAATACGTAATAATAATTATTGTCAGTGAAATAACTGTTCGGTGAAATGACTGCAGGTCAAATGATTGTCAGTGAAATGATTTTGTAGATAAAAAGATTGTTGGTAAATTAGAATGTCAGGAAAATGACCTTTCGGTAAAGGGATTGTCAGTGAATTAATATGTTGGGAGAATGATTATTGGTGAAATGGCCCCAACCCGTTAATTTTGGTTTTTTTTAATAGCTTGACGAATATTGCTCCTATTCTAAAAATCTTACCTTCTTTATATTTGTGAAAACATCCTATATCTTTTGGTATAAGTTATATAGTATTAAAATGCTTTTCTGTTGCTCTAAAAAGTGTTAGATTTTTAACTCCCTTTTCTTTACTATAAATTTCTCTAAAATTTTGTTTTTATGAACATTATTATACAAACTTTAACCATTAATATCTCACTATTCACTTAACTGTTTTAGACATTTTTACTTTCTTTAGATTCAAAGAGACTCTCTCTATATTTTCTTTCTAAGTAACAAACTCTGTTAGCATAGTACTAATATCATAAAATTTTGATTTTTCTATTTTGGTTCAAATTTTTATACTGTAAAGAAAAACTTTGCCAGACCAATTTTAAATTCTAATTGAGGAAAAAAACTCTGTTTGATTAAACCTCTAAGAAGAAATTTATTTAAGACCTACTATTACTAGGAAGTAATAGTTTTCTTTTGGAAGGTCTAACAAATTGAAAGAGATTTGCTCAGAAAGGTATACTTGATGCTTTTGCTTTCATAGCAACAGAAGCTAGCAACTTACTGTGACTTCTAAGTAGAAACCTTATAACAGGTACTTTACAAGCCAGAGTGTAGGCTAAGGACCCATAGCTAGCAGCTTACAGTGAACCTTAATCAAGAAGTATTAAGCACAAACTATTTATGAGCTAAAGTGTAGGTATAAGTAATTCTATCTAAGATATTATTTTAAACAACTTTTAAAACCAGAACACTTTTAATTAAATATTATAACCAAGAGTTTGCTTACAGCATTATATGCATTGAGCATACAAATTGCATCTTAAATGAATACAAAAACATGAACAAGAACATGAGAACACATTCTTTTTAATGATACTCTTCAAGTACTTGCATCTGCTGATTTGTGTAAACATTGTTTCTCTGACTATAATTATTATAACTCTATTTATAAATTTTGGAGGTGGTATTAATAAGAATTTATTGCAACCTCTTATACCCAAATAATACTTACAGCTCACTTTGATTTAATCACAAACTCTGACTATTTTGTGATCTTACTTTTTGTTAGAAATATTATTTTTAGTTGCAGATATCGTTTCTCTTTTTACAGTCTTCATAGGATAGCAAATACACTTTTTACTAATTATATTAGATAGGTAGCATCTACAATTTACATTAATATCCAACTACTTTTACAATTATCACAAAATATATATGATCAGTTATGGATACTATACTGTACAAACTCTCACAATGGAAGCAACAAAACCATATACCTTTAAGACCCAATCACAATACAACAACTACTTATATAACAAACA